TAGTATTGTAGTGATTTTGTAAGATACTGTGTGAACTGTAGTGTATGAATTTCCCCTTGGGGATCAATAAAGTATCTATCTATCTATCTATCTATCTATCTATCTATCTATCTATCTATCTATCTATCTATCTATCTATCTATCTATCTATCTATCTATCTATCTATCTATCTCCCCCGGCTACAAATAGCAGCTGTAAAGCGTTGGAAAATGCCGAAAAGCTTCTCCTCCGGCCCCGGGAATCAGTGGGGTGGAATCAGAGCGGGTTTGCTGTGCTGACACTGGAAACGCTGCTATCTGGGAGATCAGCTGTACTGTAAACATTTGTCACCAGGACTTAATGCCAGTGGCGTTTAGAAAGGGGGGGAGAGGGGGGGTGAGAGGGGGGAGGTAAGGGGGGAGAGAGGAGCTAGGAGGGAGGGAACAGAAAGTGTGGAGAGGTGCTGAAAAGATGGGGGAGGGTATGAAGACATTCATTTGCGACTCATTGGGAGAATGTGTATGCGTCTGTGTGTATTTGTGCATCAATGGCATAACAAGTCACAGTGTGTGTGTGTGTGTGTGTGTGTGTGTGTGTGTTTGTTGGCAGGCTGTGTGTGCTCATCCATCAATGTGCCAGGCCTGATTAGCCACACAACGCTGTGCTCCAGCCTAGCAGATGGCACCACATAATCACCCCCAAGTGTGTGTGTGCGTTTGTGTGTGTGTGTGTGTGTGTGTGTGCGTGTCTGTGTTTGTGCACGTCTTTCACCCACTTCCAACAGGTCTGCCTGCCTAGCACCTGGCCTGGCACACAGCCACACACACACACACACACAGACACACACACAGAGTCACTTCTCCTTCAAGAAGAAGGGAAAAAGCATGGGACTGAATTTGTAAGAGGAAGACTTTCTGCCCGACAACAGGACAGGAAGCTGACCAGAGAAAGAGACAGAAAGGAAGATGGCGTCCAGTTTGGGTTGTGTGAATAGTCTTTGGGCCGTACTTGTTACAGTGGTGTTTCAGGTGTCTCTTGTAGCTGTCCTCCTGTAGCAAATGGTCGGGGTTGCAGCTGGCCAGCCAATCGGCTCGCGGGGTCTGAGGGGGCGGAGCCACGGACTTGCCCTTCTTCCCCTTCCTGCCTCTGGGAACAGGTGTGGACAGACCTAAAGCAGAGGGAGGAGGAGGATGGTGAGGGAACGGTGGACTAACGGAAGCCTGGAAGCTTTAGTTTTACATTTAGTATCCTTAAAATACCTAATATGAGCTTGTTTTCGTGTGTGGTCCCTAACCCTAATTAATGATAATGAACTGAGAAGTAATTTCCCAGTGTTGTATTTAGTCTCCAAGTCTGAATAATCTTTTATTTTGTACAATCTTTTATTTTGAAAAATGACCGGATTCTCTTGGTTACATCTCGGTAACTTGAGGGCCCAAAATTTAACCCACAAGTTGGAAAAATTAGTATAAAACAGACGTGTTTGGAAAGTTTCTCTTCGAAAGGGAAAAGGGCCAAAAGAAGAGACGAAGGGAAGAGGCGACGACTCTAGAAAATAATGCTTTTAACAGAGAAAACCAGGAGTTCTACTGGAAATATGGATCTATTCCCACAGACCGAGGCCACGAGTAATTTAAATATAATATAAATATATATTTTTTTTTCTGTGTGTATTGTTGTTTGTATATCTGGAGGGTGAAACGAAAATGATTTCCCTCTGGGAAAACTGTCTTTTTTTCGTTGACCTCCTGTTTATTTTGCATGGATTCAATATTAAAAACTTATTTTGCCAATCCGTCCTGGGATTATTTAAGTATTTCTGATTCGTATTGGCTGGCAAGAGAAAACACAGATCCAGACTCCAAATCCAGTTTTAGCATTAGCATTAGCATCTGTAACCCACAGGTCTGTGTCCTAACCATTAAGTTGTTATCAGAGTAAATCCCTGTTCAACATGAGTCTGACAACTAAGTAAGTAGATGAATAACTTTAGACTTTAGGACAGGCTCTGATTGGCCGGGATCGTATTATCAAAGCGTTACCAGAGTGGTTGGTCAGCCGTTTGGTGGTCCCGTCCTCACTGGGGGTGATCAGGTCCCAGATGAAGCTCTTGATGTTCTCGTCTCCGCGGTAATGCAGGAGGCAGTAGGCCAGCAGCGCCCTGCAGATGGTTTCCACGTCCGACTCCTTCAGGGGGCGCTTGAACCGGCCGTGAGCCAGGATGTCCGTCCACCGTCCCCAGCTGGAGACAAACGGGGAGAATGAGCCGGGAAGGGCCAACACAGGAGCTAACACAGGAGCTGAAACAGGAGCTAACACCGGAGCTAACACAGGAGCTAACACAGGAGCTAATACAGGCAGGAGCTAACACAGGAGCTAACATAGACAGGAGCTAACACAAGAGCTAACACAGGGGCTAACACGGGAGCTAACACAAGAGCTAACACAGGGGCTAACACAGGAGCTAACACAGGAGCTAACACAGGAGCTAACACGGGAGCTAACACAGGAGCTAACACAGCAGCTAACACTCCAACACTACAAAATGAAAAAAATTAGCTTAATAGCCTTTAATAGTTCTGGTAACTAACCTATGAACGTGAGATCCTTTTGGTTTTAAATATGAGCTTAATAGTCTTTAATAGATCTGGTAACTAAATAAAAACAAGCTTAATAGCCTCTGATTGTTTTGGCAACTAACCTATGAACGTGAGATCCTTTTGGTTTTAAATCCACTGAATAAAAACAAGCTTAATAGCCTTTAACAGTTCTGGTAGCTAACCTAAGAACACAAGATCCTTTTGGTTTTAAATCCACCGAATAAAAACGATCTCAACAGCCTTTAGTAGTTCTGATAAAACTAAATAAAATAAAAAGTGATGTGTGCAGACTGTTGTTATCTGACATTCCTCAGAGGTCCCTTTGTTTCTCTGGTCTGGACCCACTCATGACAGCCCTCAGACCCGTTCTCCTCCATTTCACGGCCGCCCCGACCCTCATCCTTCATGAATATTTACGGCAGCCCCCATCATCCGGCCTCATTACGCTTCTGCCTTTTACCAGGCGGCTGCCTTAACTGTAACTGGCGTCTTAAATAGTGCCACCCAGACTCCCCCCCCCCCCCCCCCCGTGTGTGTTTACATGGATCACAGCCCATCTCCCCCCCCCACTCCTCTGGCTGATGTGGCATCCGTTCAGCCTTTTTCTCAGCTCCGCTTCCCAATATCCAGCCAACCGAGCAAACCGGAGCTACTCCCAACCTTTACTGGGAGCGTAAAATGGTGGGTGAGGGGGGGGGGATGAGACGGACAATGTGAAAGCACAACAGAGGGCTGAAAAGAGGCGACAGGCCCAGTCAGACAGTGTGTTTTTCTGTCCTAAAGCCCGGGGCCACGAGGCTAGACTGTAACAATAACAGGGCTGACATCTCACTAGCTGCCCTGTTCCTCCTCACGCGCCTCCGTCAGAAAGATGGAGGCGCCCGCCTGATCCCCGATGTGTGCCAAGTGTGTCAGCCCCGCTGACGGGTGGAAGGAAGGCAACAGACCATTACTGAGCATTAGCTCTCGTCTGAGGGCTCCGGATTAATAGACGGAGGACTCTTTTGTGGTTTGGAAACGCAGAAAGTGAAACAAAAAGCAAAAAAAACGAGTTCAGGGCCGACAACCACGCCCTTAAATGGGAGGAAACAGAGGCCGAGTCCGGCCGTTTCATGGGATTTGGCTTTAAAAAGTACGAGGGAGAAACGGGATTAAGGGTCAATTATGTGTGTGTGAGCTAACGAGGAGATATTCTCCACGGCCGGACTAATTCAGACACGCCAGAGTCCGTGCACGAGGGGTCAGAGGCACAGAAGAGAGCCAGGTGAACGTCCCTGTCCAGTACTTTGCATAAGCTTTTAAACGAGAGCTCTATAAGGCTGGTAAGACCGTTTCAATGTGGAGGATTAACCAAAAAGAACCCTGATTTCCGCTCATTAACATGGTATTTATTGCTTTCCTTAACACTATAAAAGCCCAAAGATATGAGAATTTTTGTAATATATGCTTCAGAAAAAATCAAAAAGAAACTAGTGGGTTGGTGGAAATGTCGTTGGGCAGATTTTACTGGCTAAAATAAGGTCTAAAGATGAACTTTTGTGAGTGTAAACCACACGAAAACCCTGATTTCTTCTCATTAACATGTTATTTGCTGCTGTCCTAAACACTAGAAAGCCCAAAGATATGAGAATTTAGTTAAATATCTATCAGAAAAAAACAAAAGGAAAATAGCTGGTATGTGGAAATGTCGTTGGGCAGATTTTACTGGCTGTAATAAGGTCTAAAGATGAACTTTTGTGAGTGTAAACCACACGAAAACCCTGATTTACGCTCATTATCATGTTATCTATTGCTGTGACGAGTGTTTGGCTAACACTAGAAAGCCCTAAGATATGAGAATTTTTTTTTTTTAAACAAAAAGAAACTAGTGGGTATGTGGAAATGTTGTCGGGCAGATTTTACTGACTAAAAATAGGTTTAAAGATGAACTTTTGTGAGTGTAAACCACATGAAAACCCTGATTTCCGCTTATTTACATGTTATTTATTGCTGTCCTAAACACTATAAAAGCCCAAATATGAGAATTTTGTCAAATATCTATCATAAAAAAACAAAAACAAACTTCCAAATCTCATTGTACTGTGTACAGTGACAATAAAAGACTTTCAATTAAATTCAATTCAGTATGTGGAAATGTTGTTGGGCAGATTTTACTGGCTATAATTAGGTCTAAAGATAGATTTTTGTGAGTGTAAACCACATGAATCCTCTATTTTTGGTGTCTCAGAGGAGGCAGAAGTGATCACACACCCGTAGACCAGCAGGTTCTTCTCCACGCGGAAGCACTCGGACCGGGGGTACCCCTGGGCCTTGTCCTGGGGCCGCCTCTGTTTGGTGGAGGGCTTGGCGGGCTCGTCCTCGTCGCTCTCCAGCTCTGAGAACTCCAGCATCTCGTCCTCTTTGACGCTGCTGTAATGCCGCGTCTGCTTCCTGACCCTCGGCGTGTCGATCACCAGGGTGTTCTGGGGAAAAAGGCGAAAGGAGAATGGTTTATTTGACATTTTCCACCTTTAAGGGCAGACGTTCTCTCTCTCTTTTAGCTTTCGCTTAGAGCCTGGTGTGAAATACAGATGGGCTTAACCCTCTTATATTATATCTCATATATTCATCCTAAAACCTGAGAAGTGGAATGAAAACTAGTTCATTTAGACAAAGTTGCACACAGCATGTTTAACCAGGAAGTTCTTTAACGTTCACCTTTTCCACCTTTAAGGGCAGACGTTCTCTCTCTTTTTTTGGCTGCTTTAGCTTAGAGCCTGGAGTGAAATACAAATGGGCTTAACCCTCTTTTTATTAGTCGGGGAAAAAATCTCATATAGTCATCCTAAAACCTGAGAAGTGGAATAAAAACTAAAGATAAACAACCAGGAAGTTCTTTAACGTTCAAGAAACATCTGGACAAACGTCTAAAATGGACGTTTCTTGTGTTTTTCTTACGTCTCTTCTTCTTTCTCCACATAAAGATAAAAGTCTGGATATGTGGCATGAATTTTTATTCTCATATAGTCGTCCTAAAACCTGAGAAGTGGAATAAAAACTAAAGATAAACAACCAGGAAGTTCTTTAACGTTCAAGAAACATCTGGACAAACGTCTAAAATGGACATTTCTTGTGTTTTTCTTATGTGTCTTCTTCTTTCTCCACATAAAGATAAAGGTTTAGATGTGCGTTTTGTGGCCTGGGGGTTACACCAAACCATAGAGAGTTAAATCCACCAGCAACAATATGCTAAGTACCTTCTGTTCCGATCGCTGAAGTGGCTCGTTTGTAAATTTGTTTTTTATATTCTGACTCCTGTGACTTGTGAGAACACCCAGTATTTATGTCATCTTGCGGGCCGGATCTGATTAATTGGATATTTGGCCCTGAACTTGGTTCCTGATATTGAGAAATACGACTCCCTTACTCAAACACAAACTGGAATTAATTATGTTGTCTAATTAATTACATTTTTGTTCGACTAATTTGATTTCTCCACTCCCCTGCAATCCCATTAATATGCACCAACAGGGTGGAAGTTAGCTTCACAATTATCACAGGGAGGAAGTCATTTCCATCCTAACGTCACGATAACAAACCCCGGGGGAGGAAAAGAGGGAAACGGGGGAGGAAAGGAGGGAAACAGGGAAGGAAAGGAGGCAAGGAAAGGACGGAAACGAGGAGGAAAGGAGGGAAACGGGGAAGGAAATGGGGAAGGAAAGAAGGGAAACGGTGAAGGAAATGGGGA